GTAATATAGTTCTTGCCCGAAATTCACATGAATATGTACTTCGAAACAAAGTATCTAAAGTCAAAGTTGAGAAATACAGATCAAAAACTCGGGAAAACTTCCTCATCAAGTATGCAATAATTTGGAATAGTCTCCCCTCCGAAATACGCATGGCAGATGAATTACATACGTTTGTAAGGCTGCTTGATCAAGCCCTCATTTGCACTGATCGAACACATACGAACAGATCTGCGCCCCACTCAGATATCATAGGCTCTCTACATGTCTAAACCAAAATGGACTCCAAGTTCAGTTTGCCTTATTTTTCCTACTTTGCAGTTGTTTTAGTTACTTTTCCCACTCTATTTCTTCACTTAAAGTAGACAGGTAACTCACTGGACCTGCTGATACTGTTCAACTAAACTCGGTCGCTAAGAGACACTCACTACCACCATAAAAAGTCAAGAGAACCGCGCAATCGACTGCCTACTACCGATCGAACTGCATCTATGGAGCCTGTTACCCATCAACTGGTTAGGATAACACAAAAGAACATCAGCACCAAGTTAGTGTGAGTCTATCCTTGTTTATTGCTTATTTGCTTTTTACTCTACTGCACACCATGTTGGCTAGCAATTAATATTATTCCTCCACTCGTTACCTAATCTACAACCTATATACTTCTATACTTTTCCGCTCGTTTTATTAAACTACTATCCTACATTACACCCCTCTTAATGCTTATACTTTAATAGGCAAACTATACTTTATACTATAGTCAATTAAAGCACTGCATCGATGCCTTACCCACAGTTCATAATTTGTAACTGTCTGATAAGCTTGTAAAATGGTACTTATAGAAATAGTGTTTTCCAACAGATTGTGAAACAGAGGATTGTGTGAGGTATGATATATATATCCAAAAATAAGCTTAAATGAGCCTAACATCACAAAAGGAGGGGGGTGGAGTTACTGACCAGCAAGCATTGATGGTGAGGTTTTATTTATTATTTTTATTTTAACACATAAATATCGGTACAAGAAGGCACCAAATACATATGCGCCACACAGATCTCATTTGATATGTGTGAGGGCTGTGATACTGCCCGGGTGCCCAAACCGAAGCAGGTGGTTTTCTTAGGGGGCCACACCCCGAGCCTTCGACCTGAAGATCTGATCCACAAGGCAGTGGAGCATCGTGAGGAGATGCAGTCCCATGGTAGCCGGTGACCAACGATTGGTTCATACGCCATTTGTTCCCGCAGGATACTGGAGCCAGCCCATGTGCACCATTGGTTTGGGATCCGGTTATAGCGCCGGACATTCGCTTTTCGTCCTCTCATTTTTGTAAACAACACCCCCGTCACGAGAAGGCAGTGAGTAGGACTTCCCTGGCAGGGGCTGTATACGCGTGGCCATATGAGAGCAATTCGAGAGGGGGAGCGGTCTCCCCCCACTCTCGGCCGTGCGATGACTTCAATCCACCAGTGTTTGTGGGGCAGAACATTTTGTATGTATCATGCTCTCTATGATTGAGCATAAGTCAATCAATTTGTGATATAGATTATCTTCCTACGCTCACCACTCAGACTCATGCTTCCAATTTTATACTGGATTAGCTGTTCTACTAAGACAACCTATAACATGCTAACTCGGACTTTTACACATGAATTGTGTGGCTGGCATCGGATGGAAAAAAAGAAAGAAAGAAAAAGTCAGACAACAAAAGATATAGTTATTAATATTTTCAACACTTCACCCTCTATATGCACACTCCCTTCTAATAAACAACTTTCCCTGTACCAACCTTAACTTCCCTTCCTTCATATGAGCTTACTCCAACTTGTTAAACATCACAATTCATTGTTCTTTATTACTACATTCTCTTGAATGGGGCCTCTGACTTTATTTCACTCTAACAAGAGATAATATGAATTTAATCTAATTTATTATACCTTTGTCTGTTCTACGTAATGTTAAGCAACGTTTGGAGTCCATTTCCAAGTGCCTTGTTGCTCTGCTGTTTCTCTTTTTTATTTTCTTCAGAATCTTGCTCCGAGGGCACAGCTATGGAACTTCTAACGTCTGGAACAAACTTGACGTATGCGTCAACTCAAGGCCATGGTTTATAAAAAGCGCTCCACGAGACTACTTTATAACAACTTTAACCTTATAAGTTAGGAAGCATGCTATGCTCCAACAAATGTTATAATTTGTAGATCATGCCTGTAAAAATGGCGTGTACCTGCTCATGCAGAAATATATTAATATTATTATCAAGGTGGCAAGGCGGTCAAAATACAAACACATATGGCAACATTACGTTTTTTGTTATGGTCTAGCCTACTCACCCTCGTGATTTGTTCTTCTTTCACACATACAATGCACGAACGGGTTATCTCCTTTCTTTCATGCTGTTGCAAATTAATCATACGAACATGTCAATTTACTACTCAGGCAATTGTAGCGTGGAGTCGAGTCAGGGTGGACTATGAACACCACTACAATAAGACCACACGACAGTTAACTAATAGGATCCCCGTAGGCCATTATCAGAAAGTAGATGATGGCTGTAGTCGAGATGGATTTGTTGGTGATCTTGTGGTATCGAAAGAATACCGAGATCGTGCCAAGGAGTATAAGAGTTCACTGAGCAAACGCAAGCGCGTACAAGGTCACAATCAATTGAAGCAAGAATGTCTTTGTTACAGTCAAACAAACAAGTACAGTAAAACAATCACTGGTACAATTGGTTATAATAGTAATTGTTTCCACCAATCGCGTACTGTTGATAAAAGTAGGTCACTACATGAGCCCCCCGCTAGAAGAGTTTACACTTTCAGTACGTGACGGTTTCATTCGTGTTACACACCGGCAAACGTGCGATTGTAGGACGAAAGGGTTGACAGAACAGGAAGCGATCGTTTATCCTCGAGTTAACACTGAAAGTCTTTTACATAGAACGGTACCAGAGTGGTCTGTACCCAGGGTCTGCGAATCGCGTTCGTAGGGGTGCGGACCAGAAAGCGCTCCAGATGTAGGACGGAACGACGTTGAACTAAGCGAACAGAAGCGACCATAAAAACAAATTGCAAGACCAAACACATGCCAGACGGATTCGAAGCCAGAATATCGACTGAGTGCTTTGACATGAGATTGGGTGATCAGGCCAGCTTTCGCCAAAGTTGACTGAAGTCAACGTTACCAAACGGGCGATGGTCGGAGGCGTTGGCTCAAAATACCGAAAAAATAAAAGGATAGAAAAGGTGTAGCATGCATGCAGTATAGGGATAGTCCTACACCGTATCCGTTGTTGATTGTGCGGTTGGTCGCGAAAACGTACGGGTAGGCGTACTCAGCGACAGGAGCGTGAGACGGTAGCCTCGTTCGTACTTCGTGAGCCGCAACCTCATCCGATGTCAAGGGCAGCGTGGTCTGCTGATCTTGACGCGAGACAGAAGTCTCGCACGTAGATGGTGCAGATGACACGTGCTGTTCACTGGGACTTGAGAATGAAGACTCTGATGTACCTAGCGTGAGATCTGAAGTAGATGTAGAGATCCTGCTAGAACGTTTGATAGGTCTAGCATGGGATCTCAAGTTTTCATGGCACTGACATCGACGTGTGGTGGTTTGAGACGATCGATTCTGACGATCTCGACGCGGCCATGTTAGTCAACCTTGATGGTCTTTTCGTGACGAGAGATCACGTGAAAATGTCCTTCGTAAGGCTGTGGCAAAGGTTTGCGTACTGAATCTGCTCGTATGGAAACATGTGAACAGGTAGATAACTCTCGAGGGAGAGCGACCTGTTGATGTTGTATTCGAGTCGACACCGGAGGCAGTGTTTCCATAAATTCAGACAGTCGATGGACCTAGTCTAACTTACCGAAATGGTTACTGCTCCGTGGTGTAAAAAATTTCTCAGGCAGACGTAATGTCGTGTCGTAAACAGGTTCAGCCGCAGAAGATTGAATATCTTCCTAAGAAAACGAGCGGTAAGGTTCCGTATCAATTGTCGTTTTCGTGTACTTGCAGAGCACTTTAAAGTTGGCGATGAAACCATTCAACTAAACCATTTGATGCTGGGTGGTAGGAGGTAGTGCGTACGCGTTCCGTAACAAGCATCTGGGTCATTGGGGAGAATAATGGGGACTCGAATTGTTGTCCTCGGTCAGTCGTGACAGTCGAGGGACGACCGTACAGTGCTATCTATCGTTCTACGAAGCGATGAGCAACTGTCTCCGCCGCAATAGACGTGATGGGAATAGCTTCGGGCCATCTTGTAAAACAGTCGATGCACGTGAGTATGTGATCGTACCGGTGCGATGGTGACAATGGTTCACAATGTCTATATGAACGTTATCGAAGCGAGCGAACACCAATCGCGTTCTTTTGATAATACACAACCACGTAATAAATTCTGTATAGATTTTTATCCACTGCCGTCTGACAGATACCTATGAGAGTAACTTAATGGTAGGATGTAGAAGTGAACGGAACTGAATTTTTAATATAAGAATCACTAGTGAAGTCCTGAAGGTTGTTGAAATTAATTACAAACTTGTATGAATAATATACCTAGTTACAGTGAAAATTTATACCACGTCTATTCTGTGCTTCTTGTTTATAAATCTCTTAGAGTAGGCGGTCCCATAAAATCTTTGTCCACGCGCTAAACAACTAATAGTTTTTTGCTAGTTCGAGGAGACATTGGATATTGAGGCTCAGGCCAATTTTATGACTGCAGTTGTGAAGGCGGCTTGTAGAAAGCTGTTCGTTACTTAGTCTGCTGTATTATCGATCTTCTAGTTTAACTCTAAATTCGAGTTGATCAATAACTCAAGTGGTTTGATTCATCTTCTGTTTTTCTTAACATGCCTCCGGAAACGTATTTTAATTTGGATTCCATACCTGCTACCGTCGATGAAGTTGTTGTTTCTGGATTGGACAGGACGCACGATTCAATTGTCAAAAAACAAGTAGTTAATAATCTTCGATTTGAACTTTGATTTATCAAGCTTGTGGGGTTAGTGAAATCACAGAATTTACAGGACCTTTTTGAGAATGTGAGGATTGCCAAAGAAAAGCTCGTAAAGCTTGGTGTGTTCAAGACTATTTTTGCTGTCGTGGATGTGTCCGAAGATCATTCAAAGCCGAATGCGTATAAAGTAATCTTGTTTAAAAAACATAACTTTTGAAAGGTGTTTTCAGTGTTTAACTTGCTTTGTGTCTCTCAGTGTTTTGTGAATTGTAATTATACACAATGGTAATAGTACCGGTTATTAGTTTTATTTATTTATTTTAACACATAGATATTGGTACGAGGAGGTACCAAATACATATGCGCCACACAAATCTCATTTGACTTGTGTGAGTGCTATGATACTGCCCGGATGCCCAGACCAAAGCAGGTAGTTTTCTTAGGGGACCACACCTAGAGCCTTCGACCTGAACGTCTTATACACAAGGCTTTTCATCCTCTCATTTTCGTAGACAACACCCCCACCACGAGAAGGCAGTGAGTAGGACTTCCCTGGCAGAGGCTATATACTCGTGACCATGTGAGAGCATTTCGAGAGGGAGGGCGGACTCTCCCACTCTCGACCGTACCAGGGCATTTGGGGGCACCGGATTTTAGTGTTATTTATTTTATTTATTTTAACACATAGGTATTGGAACAAGGAGGAACCAAGTACATATGTGCCACACGAATCGCAATTGATTTGTGTGAGGGCTGTGATACTGCCCGGGTGCCCAAACCGAAGCAGTTGGTTTTCTTAGGGGGCCACACCCCGAGCCTTTGACCTGAACGTCTGTTCCACAAGGCAGTGGATTTTAGTGACCAAGTATCGGTCATCAAATAATATTATTTAAAAAGAAACTAAGAGCTTCATATGTTTTATGTGTTATTTTGAATGATCAAGGGGGATTTCTTGCCTGAAAAGTTAGATATCCTAAATATTAACTTTCATCGTATAGGCTATTTAAAGCCAATGAAATACAGCCTTTCAAATGAAGTCTTGAGATAGATTCACTTCACAGGCTTCATTCCGAACATGTGCCAAATACTAGAATTTGTAATTCAACATTTGTTTCTCGTGATATTATGGCTGCATCGGATTAGTCTTATAATACTGTGCTTTAAAACTACCTTTTTGAGAGGTATCTTGTAATGATTGTGAAACTGTGCTTAAACGAAAATGTATGATCAGTTTTGCCTGAAATATCAATAAAGTTATTCGGGGTAACCTAGTTGTCTAGTCTCGCTCCAGTTTTCCGTAAGTTACATTCTGGGATCAGTTCACAAAAGTTATTCGAATTAAATCCTGTGATTGATGTTAATGTATGATCTTCCGTTTAACCCTTACATTATCTTAGCTTCATATTTTTCACGATTTCGCTTTGATACATGCGGTATTTTTTGTTTAGGGATTGGCATTAAACTATGTGCAGTTCAATTATGCTTAGCATAGGACATGGATTAACTTGCGGAGCAGTGAATTAATGGCTTAAACGATCGGCTTTCAATTAATGGGTTGCTTGTTCATTGTATGTAGACACAGTTTTGCTTGAGTGTCTGCTAACGTTCCCATCGTCTGAATTTTCTGGAACTGATCTACCAGGAGTTCCACTTATTGGCTTAGAAGACGCAGATGACATTGTCCTGTTTGGTGAAGATGCTGATAAAATGCATTGTTTTTGTATTTATTTATTTGAACACATAAATATTGGTACAAGGGGACACCAAATATATATGCGTCTTTTGATAATACTGAGCAACAATGCCAGGATGTTTGGAATGCGTTTCTACCTCTTTAATGCAATTTGTTGCTTCAGGACTGGCATACGTCAACACCTAAGGAACTAAGGATAAGGCGTGAAGTAGTCGGACACGTCGACAACTTCACTTATCTTGGAAATCTGATCAACCCTAATGGGTTGGTGTCTGACGAAATCACTTCACTTATAGTGAAGTCGAGATATCCGTCTGTTAATCAAAGGACGAGTATACTGCGCGGCAGTTCGTTCTGTTTTACTTTACGGCTGCGAAACGTGGCCGTTAAGGGTAGAAGCTACTAGTATTTGGTCACAGATATCTTGAAAATATATCGATTATCACTACTCACAATGCTGACTAGTGTCGGGGATGGTTGAAAAAATGTTGGGGGCGGCCAAACCAAAACCTGGCATCAGTCCAAAAAGTCACTAACTTCTAGTCTGAGCCATGTTGGTAGATGCAGACTTCTTTGTTGTGGTTCGCGCGACCATCGTAACCAATGGTTGGAGACTGTGGGTGACATGGTTCAGAATCAATCACAATGGCTTAAGTGTATACACTCCTTGTCTACCTTCAAACGGTGAGATTAAAATTGCTTTATACCTTTCTTTTCACGAACTAATTCTTTCTGTATCATATCCTAATATGAAATCCTTCTTTTATATTTCACTACAATTGAAGTAACTACATCTATGAATTTGGTGTTCACCTTGTTGTACTAGTGATGCGTGGCAACTTGAACCGACGCATATGTGTGCTTGGTTCTGCGTTGTAGCTGACTGACTGACTGAAATATTACGCCTTGAACATATTTTTATTCAGGTTGTAGTCAACGGCATTTCAAATGTTTTTGAAGTTATGGCCTGGTTTGTTGCTAGTTTTAGATCATCTACCTTGCATCGTTTTTAATTTTGTTAGTTTAGTGACGGTTGTAACATTTGTTTAACAGTTTTCATTCCCATTTACATTTTCTGTTGGTCTTGACCAGATTACCTTCAAAGTTGAGGAAAAACGCTTCGTTACTGCCCGAATGTCAATGACTCATGGAACTGATGGAATTACAAAGGCATGTGGAAATGTTCGTCTCAATAATTTTGCTCACCGTGCTGAATGTGCTGATATTGATGTTGAAATCGGTTCAAACCATTTGGTTTCCAAGTAATTTTTACTCCTGTTAAACTCATTGTACATTGTGTAGCTTCTTGTCCCGAGCTTTTCTACTAGCGTTCTATCGTTATTAATAATAGGAACCAACTCCATGATAGTCAGTGGTCCCGTGTTATACGACACAGTGATTTCATGAATCACCAGGAATGTCATCAGTCTTTGATTTTTATGCTCTCTGGACCAGTAGTCGTGTAAGAGTTTATTGCACCAAATTGGTTACTATTTGTCAAGAAAAGGGTAGTACGTATCAGTTTATGCTGTCTATGGTACTGAGAACTCTAAAGCTTTGTGTTGAACCCTCGTTATTTCTGTAGTTATTTCACATTCAGTGGAAGTATCACCACTGAATATCGATACTATGTGCTTAAACGTAGTAAAATCTTTGTTCCGACCGGCCAAAAATATTTCGAATATATCGTTTAGGATTTGAATCATATCAGTAATTTAGTAGTCCGGATAGATTTTAAGAACTATTACTGTTCGAGAAACTTTGAACTTGATGTAGTCCCACGAAATGGTTAGTTTGTTTTGGCATACACTTCTTGAGTCAAATGTTACATATTCATATGACATTATTTTTGTCAAACATGCCTAAGTGGCAAACTTCCTCGAGTTTTCTATATGATGTATATACTTTTTTATTATTACTTCAAACCTTCTTTTTGTTCTCAACCGTATTCTATTCTTTTGCCATAATATATATTTCATGTGCCTTAGTTTTCTTGATTTTAATATTTCAAGTGCACGTCTTTGTATTTGTATGTTTGATCTTACGTCTGTTATTATTATGCTTTCTATTGTCTTACATCCTTGAAAACCTCACTTCACTCAAAGGCAAGAAGCAAAATTAATCTTCCACATAGAGATTAAAATGATTATAATTTATTAACAGAGCAATCGTTAACGAATACGGATAAGTCACAGGGCACTAATTAATATTAGTGAAGATATATTAAATAACCGGGATGCAAAATATGTGGAACTCCTCTTCAATTAAACACATTCGTTTGGATAACACTAAGTCATATCATGACGAAAGATTTAGAAATCTCGGTGTAATAGTACCTGGTTTTTCACTCCCACTATGCATCCAGTAATGCTGCCTTCCCCCCTTTACAAAAATGCTATAAGGTGTGTCTTAAAAGCAAAATGGATAAAAGTCTATCAAACGTGATACTTCATAAAACCCAGTGTAGTAAATTTGAAATATCTGCTCTTTAAATTATGTAGCTGCTAACTAACTACTGGAGCTATAATTGAAAGGTTTCCTCATCATACTTCCTATTTATTGTGTGAAATAGGTATTGTAAGTGTTATGATCTTATGCCCTGTTAATATATCACGTGATCAAATCGCCCATTAGAACACCGACGTAAATGACCTTGGCACTGTGCCAAACCATTGACGCGTTAACCAGTACGAGCAGCCTAGAGTGAATTTTGAGCCCTTATTTGCTCTTTCCACCTCAATCCTTTATAAAATGTCAGGTTTGGACATACAGACGCTATTACTCAAAATATACACATTATCCGTAGAGACAGGTACATTTCCGGAAACCTGGAAGGTAACGTATGTTCTTCCAAAACACAAATCCGGACCGAGAAACCTGGTCGAAAACTACAGACCTATAAATATCACTCCAGTTATATCACGCATAATGGAAAAAGTGATAAAAAATCAACTATCTGATCACCTACTTAAGGAAAATCCAATAGACCCGTCACAACACGGCTTCATTAGAACAATGTCGTGCAGTACATGTCTGATAGACTTCTTTAACGAGGTTACTCGCATACGTGATCAAGAGAAACTGGTGGTTATACTATATTTCGATATTAAGAAAGCTTTCGATAAAGTACCTCATAATCTTCTAATCAACAGACTTTAGTCAGTTGGAATTATAAATCCCCTTTTGCAATGGATCAAGTCTTTTCTTACGAACAGATACCAAATAACCAAGATTGACTCTACAACATCTACACCTCGACCAATATCCAGTGGTGTTGTGCAGGGTAGTGTCTTGGGTCCATTGCTCTTTATAATATACATCAACAGTATATGCAAATGCTTTAGCACAGGTAAGACCTACCTCTATGCCGATGACTTAAAAGTCATCTATAAAACCGACACTTGGGATGTACGTAGTACTATGCAAACAATCCAACATGAACTCAACATAGTAGACGACTGGTGCAAACGCTGGAGGTTAGAGCTCAACACAGAGAAATGCGGCTGGTTATGTATAGGAGACACGTCTCTCAAAATAAAACTAACAATTAACAACAACACCCTGTCCAGACTGGCATCAGTAACTGACTTAGGGGTACACTACTCACAACGTCTTAATTTCTCTGAACACATCTCAGCCAAAGTATCTAAAATGCGGAAATTGCTTGGCTTCATTCTCCGTAATTTCTATCAAAATGAATCCAAATTCTTTCTTTATAAAGTTTGTGTAAGACCTATCGCTGAATACTGCTCGTTCTTCTTTTCCAACCTACGTCTATCTGATATACTAAAGGTGGAAGGAATACAACGAGACTTCACCCGCAAAATACTTAGGGCTCAATCAGTCGTTGACTACAGTTCCCGATGCCAAATCCTAAGAATAGCACCCCTTTGGAAGAAAAGGCTTAGGTCTAATTTGATTCTCTACTTCAAACTACTCAAAAACCTTACTTATTCAACATGTAATATAGTTCTTGCCCGAAATTCACATGAATATGTACTTCGAAACAAAGTATCTAAAGTCAAAGTTGAGAAATACAGATCAAAAACTCGGGAAAACTTCCTCATCAAGTATGCAATAATTTGGAATAGTCTCCCCTCCGAAATACGCATGGCAGATGAATTACATACGTTTGTAAGGCTGCTTGATCAAGCCCTCATTTGCACTGATCGAACACATACGAACAGATCTGCGCCCCACTCAGATATCATAGGCTCTCTACATGTCTAAACCAAAATGGACTCCAAGTTCAGTTTGCCTTATTTTTCCTACTTTGCAGTTGTTTTAGTTACTTTTCCCACTCTATTTCTTCACTTAAAGTAGACAGGTAACTCACTGGACCTGCTGATACTGTTCAACTAAACTCGGTCGCTAAGAGACACTCACTACCACCATAAAAAGTCAAGAGAACCGCGCAATCGACTGCCTACTACCGATCGAACTGCATCTATGGAGCCTGTTACCCATCAACTGGTTAGGATAACACAAAAGAACATCAGCACCAAGTTAGTGTGAGTCTATCCTTGTTTATTGCTTATTTGCTTTTTACTCTACTGCACACCATGTTGGCTAGCAATTAATATTATTCCTCCACTCGTTACCTAATCTACAACCTATATACTTCTATACTTTTCCGCTCGTTTTATTAAACTACTATCCTACATTACACCCCTCTTAATGCTTATACTTTAATAGGCAAACTATACTTTATACTATAGTCAATTAAAGCACTGCATCGATGCCTTACCCACAGTTCATAATTTGTAACTGTCTGATAAGCTTGTAAAATGGTACTTATAGAAATAGTGTTTTCCAACAGATTGTGAAACAGAGGATTGTGTGAGGTATGATATATATATCCAAAAATAAGCTTAAATGAGCCTAACATCACAAAAGGAGGGGGGTGGAGTTACTGACCAGCAAGCATTGATGGTGAGGTTTTATTTATTATTTTTATTTTAACACATAAATATCGGTACAAGAAGGCACCAAATACATATGCGCCACACAGATCTCATTTGATATGTGTGAGGGCTGTGATACTGCCCGGGTGCCCAAACCGAAGCAGGTGGTTTTCTTAGGGGGCCACACCCCGAGCCTTCGACCTGAAGATCTGATCCACAAGGCAGTGGAGCATCGTGAGGAGATGCAGTCCCATGGTAGCCGGTGACCAACGATTGGTTCATACGCCATTTGTTCCCGCAGGATACTGGAGCCAGCCCATGTGCACCATTGGTTTGGGATCCGGTTATAGCGCCGGACATTTGCTTTTCGTCCTCTCATTTTTGTAAACAACACCCCCGTCACGAGAAGGCAGTGAGTAGGACTTCCCTGGCAGGGGCTGTATACGCGTGGCCATATGAGAGCAATTCGAGAGGGGGAGCGGTCTCCCCCCACTCTCGGCCGTACCAGGGCATTTGGGGGACGATGACTTCAATCCACCAGTGTTTGTGGGGCAGAACATTTTGTATGTATCATGCTCTCTATGATTGAGCATAAGTCAATCAATTTGTGATATAGATTATCTTCCTACGCTCACCACTCAGACTCATGCTTCCAATTTTATACTGGATTAGCTGTTCTACTAAGACAACCTATAACATGCTAACTCGGACTTTTACACATGAATTGTGTGGCTGGCATCGGATGGAAAAAAAGAAAGAAAGAAAAAGTCAGACAACAAAAGATATAGTTATTAATATTTTCAACACTTCACCCTCTATATGCACACTCCCTTCTAATAAACAACTTTCCCTGTACCAACCTTAACTTCCCTTCCTTCATATGAGCTTACTCCAACTTGTTAAACATCACAATTCATTGTTCTTTATTACTACATTCTCTTGAATGGAGCCTCTGACTTTATTTCACTCTAACAAGAGATAATATGAATTTAATCTAATTTATTATACCTTTGTCTGTTCTACGTAATGTTAAGCAACGTTTGGAGTCCATTTCCAAGTGCCTTGTTGCTCTGCTGTTTCTCTTTTTTATTTTCTTCAGAATCTTGCTCCGAGGGCACAGCTATGGAACTTCTAACGTCTGGAACAAACTTGACGTATGCGTCAACTCAAGGCCATGGTTTATAAAAAGCGCTCCACGAGACTACTTTATAACAACTTTAACCTTATAAGTTAGGAAGCATGCTATGCTCCAACAAATGTTATAATTTGTAGATCATGCCTGTAAAAATGGCGTGTACCTGCTCATGCAGAAATATATTAATATTATTATCAAGGTGGCAAGGCGGTCAAAATACAAACACATATGGCAACATTACGTTTTTTTGTTATGGTCTAGCCTACTCACCCTCGTGATTTGTTCTTCTTTCACACATACAATGCACGAACGGGTTATCTCCTTTCTTTCATGCTGTTGCAAATTAATCATACGAACATGTCAATTTACTACTCAGGCAATTGTAGCGTGGAGTCGAGTCAGGGTGGACTATGAACACCACTACAATAAGACCACACGACAGTTAACTAATAGGATCCCCGTAGGCCATTATCAGAAAGTAGATGATGGCTGTAGTCGAGATGGATTTGTTGGTGATCTTGTGGTATCGAAAGAATACCGAGATCGTGCCAAGGAGTATAAGAGTTCACTGAGCAAACGCAAGCGCGTACAAGGTCACAATCAATTGAAGCAAGAATGTCTTTGTTACAGTCAAACAAACAAGTACAGTAAAACAATCACTGGTACAATTGGTTATAATAGTAATTGTTTCCACCAATCGCGTACTGTTGATAAAAGTAGGTCACTACATGAGCCCCCCGCTAGAAGAGTTTACACTTTCAGTACGTGACGGTTTCATTCGTGTTACACACCGGCAAACGTGCGATTGTAGGACGAAAGGGTTGACAGAACAGGAAGCGATCGTTTATCCTCGAGTTAACACTGAAAGTCTTTTACATAGAACGGTACCAGAGTGGTCTGTACCCAGGGTCTGCGAATCGCGTTCG